TGCAGAATAATATGATGTAAGCCTTGACAAACGCGACACCGAGACCTACTTGGACATCTGTTCGGCAAATGACCGATTCGCAAACAATTTATGGACAGAGCGGATTGCTTGACGAATTTCAATTTATCCTGCCAGTCTAGTAAGCCAAATGAAGGGCACTGAGTGAGAGAGTGATCAGTAGCAGAATATTTTTTACAACCATCATGTGCCGTAACAAAGTGTAAACGTCGGAAATAAGTTCTTTCATATTTCTTATATTTTTATTCGGGAGAGCGACTGTAGTTATCGCTACTCCCTGTCTTTATTGAATGAATCTTTATTTTCTTACATTAAAGCTTGCTAGCTGCCGGCGCAGCGGCAGAGCAGCAGTTTTATATCTTTTGTATATTATATTATATATATCGTAACAATATGTAAATGCGTAGAGAGGAAGAGTTATGCGCGCACATTTGTATACATAGCGACGGTCAAGCGTGAGAACGCTGACTTAGCCATTTGGGTGGTCGCTGCTATCAAGTGCGGATCATATATCGAATGCACTTAACTATGTGCAGAGGGCACTTATCGTTAGCGACAAAGTCACTGTTACTGTAAACATTGTTGGCATAACAACAAAGTGTTGCAGGTGTGTTATATGTACGCATGCTACATCTCCCTCCTTTTTAAAAATAACGTAATTAGATGTAGTTATATTAATGATTATTTGTTTTTTTTTTTACTATTTTTATTTTATAAAAAAATTTTTTTTCTTACTTTTTTAAAAACCATTCTTAATAACGATAAAGAAAAATAAAATTGGTTAAAAAATATTTTTATATTAAAGATATTTATATATATATATATATATTTATGTTATTATTTATGTATGGCGCCATAAGAAAAAAATTAAGAAATAAACTTTTTTATCCTATCCTTTTGAACTGTTTGTTTTTTATTATTACTCATTATTATTTCTATTCCTATTCCCGTCACTTTATATGGACCAGTATATATATGGACTCGTATAATCTAGCTTATGACCTGTTTCATTTCTTTATAAGACTTTATCGCCTACTGATATATCTATGTTATTTATTTTTTGATTATAGTGTATTTTATTCTTTTTCTTATGATCTTTTAGCATTAATCTAGCTCCTTTGTATGCTACTTCTAATCTATATTTACTTGCTTTAGCATAGTCATCTATATTATATAAAGTTTCTATACTATCTATACTATTAAATTCCTTTGGTAAATTATTTGTTTTACCAAACACTAGCTCATATGGACAATAATTATGTGCCATTGAGGGGGACGTGTTGAAACAAAAGACGAAATATTGAAGCCATACGTCCCAGTCGGTTTTATCGGCCGATATATATGAACGTATATATTCGTTGAAAGTTCTATGGCTTCTTTCTATTGCTCCAACTGTCTGGTGGTGGTGTGCTGTAGATGTTATATTTCTAATCTTTAGGTATTTGCATAAGTCATTTATAATTGAATTCTTATATTCTGTTCCCATGACAAAAAAAAATATTGTGCTCGTCCCAATTGATCCAAAATATCATCAATTCGGGGGAGTGCAAATTTATCGGAAAGTAGTTTTTTGTTTATTTGACGGTAGTCAATCACTAATCGCCACTTCTTTTCTTTTGAACCTGGAGATGGTTTCTTAGGGACAAGTAATAATGGGCTATTATACTCAGATACAGACGGTTCTACAATTCCGTCGGTGATCAATTTTCCGACTTGCCTCTGTATTTCGTTCTATAATTTTTTATATACACTGGCTCATCATCTTTCAATCTCAGTTTTTGTTTATAAAAATTATTAGTACTTATTGGTACGGTTTCCAATCCGAATATATCATTATATTAGGTGCATAATTTTGTAAGCTGTGAATTAAATTTTGAAGGGAAGTTTTTGAAAGTTGGGATAATACAGACTTTTCTCTGTTTTCTTGATTGATTTAGACTACTTTGTAGTCCGAAAGTGATTCATAAGCTAAGTCATTTGTACTAATCACTTGATCTTTATTTGTTGTATTAAGTAGTCTTATGAAAGCGTTTTTTGATGTTGGTATGGTGTTTGCTATGTAAATGCCATGCTTAATTTCTTGATTTGGAATCAATACACTGTCTTCCTTTGAATTTAATTGAATATTCCTAATAACCTGGGATCTTGCTGGCAGAAGTATTGAATTGTTGCCAGAACTGTATGTTGTTGGAACATAAATAGGAAATTTTAAGTTATTAGGTCTTATAATGAACAAATCTTCTGAAGGTTTGAATTCTAATTGACAGTTGTATTTTTTTATGAAATCGATTCCTAGTATGCCATCACAAGGGACAGCGAATTGTAAGTCCACGATGTGAAAATCATGGTGGATTATGTACTTAGTGGTCTGTATCTCAATAGAAGTCAACCCTTTTGATTTTGTAACTTCTTGACTTTTATATCTATAATGTAGTTTTCTTGCAGTTGCATTTTTCACTGTTGAGTAGTTGAAGGGCTTTGTGAGTTTCCCGATGTGATTTGGGCTACTCTGACATTATTGGTGTTACTAATATTTTTTCTGATTTGATTTCTACGGCCTCTTGAGTTTCCTCTATATTGGCCACGTCCATTATTATCATTGGTACTATTGTTGTAGTTATAATTGTTGTTACGACCACGAAAGTTACCTCTATTATTTCCATAATTTCCACGTCTGCGGTTTCCGCCACGTTGTGGATAATTTTTGAAATACAGGACTGTGTTTTGCTGTCCAGTTGCTTCTGTTTACAAATTTGGACACGGCCTCATTCATTGCAGAGAAACTACCAGCTTCCATGATAAGTTTTACCTTCTCATTTGTGCAGTTCTTAGTCATTGCTTTTACTGCTTGCTGGGTGGAATAACTTCTGGCTAACTCAAAAGTTAACCCGTCAGTTATATATGCATTTTCCAATGTTTTCGTCATTTCCTCAATCTCTGTTATATATTGATTGGCATCATCATTCATCAGTTTTGCTGATAATACTGCTACAGTTTCGCCTTTGACATTGTTGAATTTTCTAGATCTGTTATTAAAACCGCGGGGATGGTAAGATTATTTAAATCTTGCTCTTCTATTTTTGGACTTGTTCCAGCATGTTCCTCAGATTCTTCTGGGTCACTGTTAATTTTTCCTGTTGACCCTGTTCTTAGTGTAAGGGTTGTATTAACTATATTGGGTACTGTTATACCTAAATCAAATTTTTGTTTCATTAGTATTAATTTGTATCTCAATCTGATCGAAAGTTTTGATACTTGAGACCAGTGTTCTTGATTTAATTTTTCTCTTTGGCCATGTATTAGTATACGTGCTTCATTAAAACCGTTTACTAATATTTCTACATGCTTTTTAATGGTATTACTTTGAATAGTAAGAGATTTGTACGATCTATCAAAATCAGTTTTTATTTTATTTAGTTCTCCATATATTTGGTTCCATTCCATGTTATTCTGAAATGTCTTTTTTTTGGTTTTTTTTAATTTATATATATATATATATATATTTTTTTTTTTTTATTTTAGTTTTTATTTAATTAATCTTCTTAATGTTACAGAATGTAATTTTCAAAATAATATATAAACCTTTTTTAATAATAATTATTGTTGTTTGTGCTTTTAATATATTTTAAGTTTGGTCCAAGTCATTTGCTTGGCTCATATATTTCTTTTTTAAGCATTTGTTGAGGAGTTTATAAAGTTTGTAGAAACAATTAACGCACATTATTACAACAATAATTATTAACAATATTGTTATTAATTGTAAATTGATATTGTTCGGTTCTACTTTATTTATCACGTTAGCAGTGGAATCCACTGTCTTAACGTCTACTAATCCCATTTTGGGTGTACTACTTATAAAAATTTTGATGGTTTCTCTTAAATTTTTTTTTGTATTTTCAAAGTTTTCATCATATTTACTTATACTATTATTCATAGAAAGTGAACTTAAGTTTGCTTTTAATAAGTCAAAAAAAATATTGTTCATTATTTGCTTACATGTATTTTCCTACCTAATGTTTATATAGCTTTACAGGCTGCACTCTAATTGGGCAGATCTTCTTCCGCTCAATTTTAAAATTATTTTTAATATGCATATTAAAAATATTCATCGCAGTGCATTCAAAAAAATTATGCAACGCAGTGCATAAAAAAAAATTTCGCTCTTGGCAGCGCTGTCAGTTCTCCTGTCAGTTCTGGATGTCCATCGATGGCACAAAGGGCGGACTGCCACTCGCACTTGTTGGTTCTCACCGGTGGCGCAAATGACGGACTGTCACTCGCAATTATTTAAATATTGTTCAAGCTGTCCATCGATGGCACAAGGGCGGACTGCCACTCGCACTTGTTGATATTTGGTCCAGGCTACTAATGTTGTACCTCTTCTGCGTAGGGGCACCGGTGCTGGCTGCGCAGGTGTACTCACAATGCGGTGAGCCTAGTGGTCCCTCGCAGTCGTTTGGGCATGCCCCCCTCAGGACTGGTATCTTTTTTTGCTGGCGGTTGAGATTTTGGATTAGATTTGCTTATGTTTTTAATTGCAGTGTAGGTGGTTGTGAGCATCGGCTTTTGGTTTTTCTTTTCTGCTAGCAAGACTTTTATGTGATCGAGCTCTGCGTGTAACTTTACAGATGTGCTCCACGGTAGCGTGTCGTTGCTGTTTAGCAGTTTTAACAGTTCAGCCCTTCGGGCTCTTAGGCGTGTTACTACTCCGCCACTTTTGCCTCACATACCACTCTACTCACTGCGTTAAGCTTCTACAATGTTGTCTCTTGGGGCTCCGCCGATTCTTGCCTCCAACCCCTGTGAGATCCTCGCCAGTGGTGTTGAAAATGTTTCCCAGCTGCTGTTGTTATTGTTTAAATATTGTTTATCGAGGTGTATTGAAGGTGTGTCTTTCACTGGTTTCCGTTAAGCATTTTCGTACTTTACTACAGGTTCCGAGCCGAAGTCACGGTCGCCATGTAAACGTCGGAAATAAGTTCTTTCATATTTTTTATATTTATTCGGGAGAGCGACTGTAGCTATCGCTACACCCTGTCTTTATTGAATGAATCCTTATTTTCTTACATTTCAGCTTACTAGCTGTCGTTTTATATATTTTGTATATTATATTATATATATCGAAACAATATGTAAATGTGTAGAAAGGAAGAGTTATGCGCGAGTTACCGACCAGTCGTTAGGTAACGAGCCTCCAGCTAAACCTCCCAGAGCTACCCTGGAATTGGTACACTGACCGGGTGCCCACTTACTTAGCTTTGCAAGAATGTTGCAATCTAAACAACAGCCCAAACTGGGACAACGACCACTTGAGTCGTTGCCCCGTCGAAAGATTGCTGACACTGCAACAGGATGCCCCTACCCCAAAACGCGGGTCAGATGACACAGGCAAACGTTCGAGGAAGTCTTTGTAAACATTCGTTTATTTCACTTTGTATTTTATGCTTAAGCAATCTATGTATTAGCATATAAGAACTTATGTACACTCGGCAGCGGTGGCAACTTGGTCGCTGCTGAAGAATATATTGACTCAGTCTTAAAAGGCAACTCAAAGGCGTACGTTTATTTATTCCAACTCTTATTAAAATTCATAAATTGAAATACACCGACTACCACTTGGAGAAGACCGGACTCTGGCAGAACCCCTAGCCACCCAGGACTTCTAAGAGGATAACCATAACTGGCGCAGCCGAACTACGGACCGTGATGGACCTAATTTTCTTCGTATTCTTGTTAGAACACACACACTAAATAGGTGAAGTATTCTTGTGACAGTGCAAATAAAAATTCGAAGTTGTTTAAAAATTAAAATTAATATCGTGATATATATGCAAAACAAGCAAAGAAATTTTCGTGTGTTCCGAAAATAATAAATAAAACCAAAAATTAATTAAAATGAATAATAATAAAGACGGACAAGCTTAGAGTGCAAAAGTTATGACAAATGATCAAAAAATAGAATAGCTGAGTGCCGTCGGCAAATACAGATGTTTTAAACATGAAACTAAAAGCAATATATATATACCTTGTGAGTATTATACAGTGGGTCTTAGTATGTCTAAGGCAGAGTGCCATCAGAAAAGAAATTTTTTTTCTCTTTAGAGATAAATGCAGTTTTTGATGAAATATATACATACAGATGAACTTTGAAGGAATACAGGGAGATAGTTCTACAATCCCATCGCGTGTTTTGTATGAACGTCAACTTCGGATTTATGGCAAATGACGAAGTTGGTCTCTTGAGTAAAAAAATAATAATAAAAAAAAAAAAAAGAAAGAATATAAATAAAGATAAATAAAAAAAAAAAAAAAAAAAAAAAAAATAAAAAAATAAAATACAAAACAGCGAGGTAGTTTTTACAATCCCATCGTGTGTTTTGTAAGAACGACAGTCTACGAATTTATCGAAAATTCCGTAGATTGATATCTCGTAAAAGTCAAAAAAAAAAAAAAAGAAAGAGAGAAACGATAATTTTTTTTAATTGCGTCTTGTCCATATTCATTGAAATGACTTTGCTTGGTTTTGCCCATATATATGCAAATTTCTTGTAAATCCCAACAAACACCAGTTACGAGGGGAAGTTATTATTTTATGAAAACATATTTAAACGAGTATTTTTACAGGCAAAGCCCACAAGAGTAAAGCACCTGGAAAACACAACACTACACTACACCTCAAGCTGATACATTCAACAATTTAATACAGATAAGACGATATTTTTAAGTACACATTACGCAGAAACACTAACAATTAATTTCTCCTAAAAGTCAAAATAAATCTACTTAATGCCTAATATTGCTAAAGTCAAGAGCCTATTACCAACTACTAGAGGCGGTAGTAGAAGGCAGACCACTATAAGCCAAACACCCCAAGAGACCTCCTTATCCCTAAGACCTGTTATTACACCCTCATCCTTTACCATGGACTCTAGCGCAAACTGGTCACCACCCCATCTTAATTCCGCGATGGTAAACCATGCGGAGGTGTACGCATCGATGAAAATTCCCGACCCTATTAAATCCTTACCACCCTACTCTGGGGATCCGTTCACGTTGAACGAATTTATCGAAAATGTTGAAGAAATAATTCTAATGATTAGGACAACGGACCAGACAACATATGGTCAAATGTGCCTTAGAGCTATTAGACGCAAGATTGAGGGCAAGGCTAACGAAGAAATTATTTCAGCAGGGGCTAATTTGAATTGGGACGAAATTAAAGACGCGTTGATAAGGCATTGCAGTGACAAGAGGGACGAGGAAACCTTAATGACCGAACTCCATGAATTAAAACACAGGCAGTTATCCATACAAAGATCGTATGAACAAATCACGAAGATTAGATTAGCCTTGTTTAGGATAATAGACACGGAGGAGACTGAGCAAATAGCAATTCAGGCTAGACGTCGCGGACGTGCTTGACGGCTTTTCTCGCGGGACTTAGAAGAAACCTTAACGCGATTGTTAGAGCGTTTAGACCAAAAGGACTGGAGGAAGCATATGACATGGCTATTAAGGAAAGGAATTTATACTTCACAGAAAATACTACGTTTGGAACACAGAACAAACAGCTTTACAGACCAAACGATCGTTTTCGAACAAATCAATTTTCGAACAGAAACCGTTATAATCAATATCAAAATAGAGACTATAATCAGTACCAAAATCGAGATTATAATCGTTATAATCGCGTTGATAAATCGACTTACAGCCGGAACAACTACGAGAGTAATCGTAATAATAGATTCCCTGCAATTACAGCAGGTGACGCCATTCCTAGTACTTCCAATGCAGCCGCTAAAAAGAACGCTATAAGCAATAACAAGACCCATTCTAGCGGACAAAGACTATATAATGTCGAGACTAAGAACGTAACAACTCGAGAGATTGTTGAGGAGCCAAATTTTTAATCAAAAGCCTCATACCACAGACAGGATTCCTGAGTAAATTTCGCTTAGACGCAAATTTATCCTACAGGAAATCCTAGTACTTAGCAGACTACACGCCATATTCGCTCCAGAAGCAATTTTTAAACTGATAGAGGAAGTTTACCTCAAACACTTTAAGAACTATAAATTAATCAGTTGTAAAGATTTTTTGATAGACGTTACTACCACACAAGAACAGGAGAAGGTGATTAAAGACTACCATCAAAACAATAATCATCGTGGTATCGAAGAGACCCTGAGTCATTTAAAAAGAACATTATATTTTCCCTACATGAAACAGAAGATCACCCAAATAATCAATCTTTGCGACACATGTCACAGACTGAAATATGATATAAAGGCCCCCCAAGCCAGTATTCCAGAAAACTGAAACGCCCGAGGTACCCTTACAGATAGTGCATATGGACATTTATACGATTAATGGTCAGACAATTCTTACACTAATCGATAAGTTCTCTAAATTCGCAAGCGCTTATACAATTCCGGCAAGGAGCTGTATAAACGTGATCAAGTCGTTGAGGCACTATTTTTGTTTTGTGGGGGTACCAACAAAACTGATTTTTGACCAAGGCGCTGAATTTTCTGGAAAGATTTTCTCTGATTTTTGTAAACAATACAATATTATAACCCATGTTACGTCATTCCAGCAGTCTACGAGTAACTCACATGTAGAAAGACTGCACTCTTCGCTAACCGAAATTTACAGAATTATTTATGATACCAGAAAGGCTCACAAGCTGGAACTGGATCATGAATAAATTTTGTTCGAAACCCTAACCACCTACAATAATAACATACATTCTGCCACAAAGCATACTCCGTTTGAATTACTTTCGGGAAGAACCCACATTTTTAATAAAGATATTGAATATAATTCCGAACATGATTATCTGCAGAAACTAAACGAGTTTCAAAATACATTATATCCCAAGATTAAAGCACAACTAGAAGAAAAGATGAATCGCAGAATTGATAAACTCAATGAAAATAGGGAACAGCCCAACCTAGTTAGGACGGACGACATTGTATTCCGTAAGGAAAATAGACGGAACAAACTCAACGCCCGTTTCTCGCAACACAGGGTACTAAAAGATGACAGGATAACACTAATTTCGGCAAAAAATACATAAAGCCAAAATAAGAAATAGAATTAAAACAAACCAAATTCCCATTAATCTTACAGATTTGCGTTCGTCGCAGCACAGGACTTAAAGGTCCAACCACTGGGAAAAGATACCCCTCTACTTAAGCTAAATCTAGGACCCGCCAAGATCGTTCAATCACATAAATATCTCACACATGTAATTAATTTACAAGACTTTATAGATGGTGTTGTACATTTCGAAAGAGCAGTTTATAATTTAAAAAGAAATTTGGAATCTGACGACGCGGTGGACAGTCTATCTACAAAACTGCAACAGCTAAAAAACAGAGTAGAATTGTTATTACCCAAGAAAAGACAAGAACGCGGACTAATTAACGGTCTAGGAAAGGTCATTAAGGTAGTGACAGGAAACTTAGACGACACAGACGGACGCAGAATCGAGAATAATTTTAAAGCTATTATAGAAAATCAGAAGGAAGTAACATTAAAGATTAACAATCAAGAAATATTCAATAACGAAATTAAAGTCAGATTTGAAAATATCACAGATCACTTTAACAAGGAACAACAAATAATCAACCATTTCTTAAACAATTGCAAAAATACTATCTTAAAAACCATAAATTCGGAACACCAATTATTACATACTATTCAATACACATCTAGAATAAATATTAATAGTATTATCAAATTATTTAAGTAACATTAAAGAAAGCTTGCTGTTGGCCAAATTAAAGATCGTACCAACTTTTATCGTGTCCAAACAAGAGTTAGATTTAATCAGGCAAGAAATAAATGATTCAGATTTACAAAACTTACTTTTATGATCGGAATCAAGATAAATTTTAGAATAAAAATACCAACATTTAAACAAAATTGTTACCAATTCATACACTTGGTCCCCCTTCCCATTAACGAATCTAAATTTCTAATCCTCCCAAGTTATATGGCTTTTTATAATTCCGAAGATGTATATTATTTCACGAACAGATGTAACAAGGTAAACAAATATTTCATATGTGAAAACACAGTTACAACCTTAGATAACATTAACACTGAATGCTTAAATAACATATTGTCATTAAACACTACAAATTGTAAAGTCAAAGATACTGGAAATCAAGAAATAATTACAGAAATAGAACCAGCACACATATTGATCTTAAACACAATAAGCACTACAATCGAATCTAATTCTACTACTAAGATTGCTGTAATAGGATCTGCTTTAGTTACGTTCAAAAATTGTGAAGTATACATAAATCAGATCACATACGATAAAGAGTTGTCAATATTTGAAGAAAAAATAGAAACCATATTGAAATACTAAAATATTATGTATGTTAATTTGGCAACAACCATATACTGAAAGTTGGTCACACTGATCTGAATAAGTCTTTTTTGTTTTTCTGGAAACTTCCTGCTTCTTGTGTTAACTTCCAAACGTCTCACAACGATGTCACGCTTATGTCAAATAAAACAGTTATTAAGCTTTAACTAAATCGCCTCGCGTTTTATTCAACTTACACAAACTAAATTTAAGGTCCATCAATGCTTCCAATTCCATAATTTACTGGAAAAATTTTACGACCACATATTTTGGAGCGGTATACTTCTTAATATTAACTGGAGTCCTGGCATCAATCATACTCATCAACACAAAAAAGAGGGTTGTTTTCACCACCATACCAGAACCGAGTTTCGTGTCGTCCACGCCGTCACTTCAATCCAGGGGGGGAGGAGTTACCGACCAGTCGTTAGGTAACGAGCCTCCAGCTAAACCTCCCAGAGCTACCCTGGAATCGGTACACTGACCGGGTGCCCACTTACTTTGCGTTGCAAGAATGTTGCAATCTAAACAACAGCCCCGTCAAAAGATTGCTGACACTGCAACAGGATGCCCCTACCCCAAAACGCGGGTCAGATGACACAGGCAAACGTTCGAGGAAGTCTTTGTAAACATTCGTTTATTTCACTTTGTATTTTATGCTTAAGCAATCTATGTATTAGCATATAAGAACTTATGTACACTCGGCAGCGGTGGCAACTTGGTCGCTGCTGAAGAATATATTGACTCAGTCTTAAAAGGCAACTCAAAGGCGTACGTTTACTTATTCCAACTCTTATTAAAATTCATAAATTAAAATACACCGACTACCACTTGGAGAAGACCAGACTCTGGCAGAACCCGTAGCCACCCAGGACTCCTAAGAGGATAACCGTAACTCGCGCACATTTCTATACATAGCGACGTTCAAGCGTGAGAACGCCGACTTAGCCATTTGGACGGTCGCTGCTATCAAGTGAGGATCATATATCGAATGCACTTAACTATGTGCAGAGGGCACTTATCGTTAGCGACAAAGTCGCTGTTAATGTAAACATTGATGGCATAACAACAAAGTTTTGCAGTTTTATTTATATGTATGTATATACATATGTACGCATGCTACAAAATGCTCTCCTAGTTCGGGACTAAAATGACGTTATTTGTGAAGTTCACATCAACACATTAGTGATATTTTATTTATTGAGATACGTTCCCATATCTGATTACGCTGTTCCGTAGGTCTAATGCCGCTCCGGCCTGCGTTAGCAGGTCGAAACCTACAATGGTATCAAACGTATTAACCGTACCCAATAGGAACAATAGGATTCTGCTCTCAGTCGTGCCGTTTAACGACGTCATCAGCTAGCAGCGCAAACAATAATACTTGTGTCGCTGCGCTGCCCGAAAAAGAGAACAAAAAACAAAGAAAATATTAAGCCGGCTGTGCAGACTGGTATGGATCGCTACATCCAAATCAAAAGGAAGCTAAGCCCCCTAAAATCTCATCGCAAAATGACCCGTGGCAATGCTAACATAGCTGCAATAGAATCGCCCACTAACTCAAACCGTTTTAAAATCTTGGCAGACTATGAGGAAGATGCCGAATCTACTGAAGTCGAAAAAGGGAAGACTAAGCCCCCGCCAATTTACATACGAGAAAAAAGTTCCAACGTTTTTGTCAACAAAATTATAGAGCTTATTGGCAATGACAATTTTCACATAATACCACTCGTAAAGGGCAACATCCAGGAAACAAAAGTTCAAACGAAGTCTGAAGATAATTACAGAGAATTATCAAAATATCTCACCGACAAAAAAAATAATTTTAAACGTATCAGCTAAAAAGCAGTAAGGGCCTGCAAGTCGTACTTAAGCGCATAGACTCCGAAGTATCGCCTGCAGAGATAACAAAGGCGCTACAAGAGAAGGGATTTAGCGCTAAGACAGTCTTCAATATCCTTAACAGGGTTAGAAAACCGCAGCCACTCATTAAGGTTGAGCTCGAACCAGAAATTAAGTTCCTAAAGAAATATGAAGTGCACCCTATATACAATCTTCAGTTCCTGCTGCACCGCAGAATTACGGTTGAGGAGCCGCACAAACGCAATGACCCGGTCCAATGTGCGAACTGCCAAGAATTTGGCCATACAAGGTCTTACTGTAAACTGCGCCCGGTGTGTGTAGTTTGTGGTGAGCTTCATGACTCCGCACACTGCCCAGCGAGCAAAGATGACCACAACTCAAAAAACAGCGGCAACTGCGGTGGAAATCACACTGCTAACTATAGAGGTTGCCCAGTTTATAAGGAGATGAAAAGTCGAATCCACCAGAGGGGAATTAGTGCCCACACCCAAAATAAACAGATGATAGCCTCCAGGTCAAACCCTGAAGTCTTCTTCTCGACTGCAGCCAGATTCTCACTAGGACCCATAAACTCTGC